TTATTTTTGTATTGTGAAATACCTGTGATTGCATATACATGCATTATGTGCGCATATGCACACATAATGCACATCTTGAAGATGTGACCCAAGTCACATTATGTACCGTATGTGGCATAACGGGTTAAACCGTCGAATTGTTGAATCTGCTAACTTAAAAGTTAGCAGTTTGAAGCCGCGGATCAGAGTGAGCGCCCGTGGTTAACCCAAGCTCCTGCAACCTAGCAGTTCGAAAACATGCAAATGTGAGTAGATTGATAGGTACCACTTCGACAGGAAGGTAATACAGCCATGTCGGCAACATGATCAGAAGATGTCTACGGACAACAAGCTTCTTGACTTGGAAATGGAGTAAGAGCACCTCCTCATGGGCAAAGTTGAGCACCATCTCCAGAAAGCTGGAGATGAAAGGGGAAACCTTTACCTTTTTTTTTTTTTTTTTGTATTTGTGTGTCATTGTTTTTCACTGTATTAAAGGCACTGAATGTTGCCTATCTGTGTATGTTGTAATCCACTCTGAGTCCCCTTGGGGAGATAGAGCGTAATATAATAAGAATAATAATAATAATAATAATAATAATAATTGCAATTGTGCTGGATTTCATCATAGAATCAGTGATTGCAGAACACTTTATATACACACAGTGCAAAAGAAAACTGAACTGGCTCCCTCCCTTGCACTAACTCTAGAAAATTCTTTCTACTAGTATAACAAAACTTTTGCTTGTGCAATGAAATCAGTGCTTATAGAATATAGTGCATTTCATTCAATGGATGAAAGAGATGGGTTGGCAAAGGTTTTTAAAAAAAATAACAGCTGAACCGCTTCAAACTCTGACCTAGACACAACTCTTCCTTAACGGTTATTACAGTATGTAGAGATCTACCTGATAATGGCCTAATGTCCTCAGCTTTGTTGAAGCTAAATGAGATAGGCATGTGTTTCATGTCTGAGACATGACCACATTGAGACATTTTTTCATCCATCAATCATGTTAAAATAATTTCCTTTTAATGGAAACCCTTTTTTCTGTGATAACTATGAAGGCAGACAGTTTGATAACAATCTGAGCTTAGGTTCAATGTAATTACTGGATAGAAGAGAGAAGCACCGGGAATGTTACGAAGATGTAATGATAAAGTCAATTACAGTATAAACAAACTTCAATCATCTGGCCTAGGTACTGCCTACCGCAGGCCACGGGCAAAAGCATATGCAGCATTTCCTCTTTCATACTCTACTGGAAAAACAGGGCTGGTGATTACCAGAATCTCTACTCTGTATTCCAGAAATGGGACTTCAATGAGAAATTTATCTTTTGGGAGATTTTAACAGATTGATAGGTCTCAGGTCTTTAAAACATTACATTGTTTAGCACCAGTGGAGTGTAACCCTTGCAAAGTTTTACTGAAATAAATAGAAACCATGCAGAATCCAGACCTAGGGGTTTATTGCATTCAGCAACCCTGAACCAACAACCCTAATCACAGAGTTCTTTGAGCTGTTAAAATCACTTGCAGGAATCCTATATGACCTTTCACTTAATGTGAATGTATGTACAGTTAACAAAGCAGAGGGACTAAGAAACCCTGTTAGTGAATTGCAAAGATGCAGAACAAGACACCATCAAGACACATTGGGCATCAATGCTCATTGATGCCTGATGTGATGAGCATTGATTCCCTTTCTCCCTCTGACAGCTCTTCTATACAGTTAGGTTACAGCAGCCTTCTATTAGACATGGACATTGTGCACTTTCACAATTCTAATTCCTACAAACATAAGTTGACTTATGAAGATGCAACTCTCATACAGGATTCTGGACATTACTGTGTACGTTGATTTCAACCAAATTAGGCCTAACTTATTTCAAAAGTCTCTGCTTCTGACCATTGCAGATCTTCCAGTAGGAAAGAAGCTTTTGTGGTACGCATTCCACTTTGACTATCATAGTTAAAGCACAGAGCACTTAATGCAAACCTGCAAAAAGCTATTTATTGTGCTTAAATGGCACTTTTAAGGCAAGAGAAAGTCCCAAAGGAGATTAATTTTGAATTCCAAAGAGTACAATACAACTGGGGATGTGTTGCTGTGCAAGTTTCAAGCTCTTCCCACCAAAAGGGAAGGAAGAAAGAACCTACAGTCATTGGCTTATGTTTGTCTAGTGTCTCATTATAAAATGCACCCAATTGGGGGAAAAACAAGTGAAGCAATGCTGAATTATCTGGTCATTCTCCTCATGACAAATGATGCAGGGTTTTCACACTGTATGGTTTCACAATGGGGAGAGGGACAAGTAAAATATTTTTTCATACTCATCTTCCCATTCTTCTCAGTTAAAAAACAATCACATGATCACTGTGCACCAGAGCAATAATAAAACAGCACTTTTGGACTGAAATGGTAATTCACTATTTCACTGATGCACTAAAATGAAAAGAAGAAAAAAAGAAACACCCCCAAAACAAAAGAAACTACATGAAACCTCAGGAAATCATGCCCTCAGTTTGTTTGGTTTTAAAAAAACAAACAAACAGTAAGGATTCAATAAACCAATGCATCCAACAACACAAACTGCCCAAAAGGTAACAGAAAAGAGACTACTGATGGAATAAGCAAACACAGAGGTGGCAACCAGAAATACCTGGCAAAAACAAAGGAACAATGCTCTTTACCGCTGACAGGTCTATAGTTCACTATCTGGCAAAGAGAGATGACAGTTTCAGTGGAGACTGTTGTCAGTTGCATGAAGCTTTTCAGTGAGTGAATTACATAGCTGAACTGATCAGAATAGTAAGGAAAATGCTCCAAACAGAAATAGTACTCTGCTTGTGGTTTTATGAAGTAAACACAGAAGTTTCACATCTTATTTTAAAAAGTATACTAGGATCTTCCCTAGAGGACAGGTTCTTATAGGCTGCACTTGAAAGCAAAATCATCCTAAATTAGCTTTGTGTAACTCTTTTGGTGTCAGTGACCTAAATCCAACTGCTACTCCTAACTGAAGAAGAGCCACTGAATCATGTGCCAAATGGTAAACTAACATTTATGTTACTAATTCAATCCATCTACTTGGGTAAAGACGAGCCATTCTATTTGGGCCGGCATGAACATTATTTGTGCCTATTTTAAAATGTTTTGGAAATGTTTGTGCTTATATACAATATGAGGGCATGCTAAAAAGGTGCAGGGCAGTTTATATATCTGATATGCTCAAAAGGCTGAGTGGGATTAGTGAACAGTTTAGAAAGATTACTGAGATAAATCGGGGACATCTGAAGTTCATGTAGGTTCAGATTTCAGCTTGTGTAACTGTCACAGTTATTAATTAATATGTAGTTATACATGCAAAATATGTTAATAGCTGATAAAAATATTAGTCCATCACATTCTGCTTTTACCAAACACTCTTTACAAAACAAGCTTCCACAATTTTTATTATATGCTCTGTTGAGGGAAAAGACATTTTATATAAGACAGACATTGGCATGAAGATATAATCAGAACTGATTGAACCCTGTAGCAATACATGGTCATTGGTCCTAATTTAACTGTAGTTTTAAATTATTTTTAGTTTGCTTTTTAATCTGTTTTACAAGATTTTAATTTGTGCATTTTAGAAAAAAAAATCCTTCTACACTGCCTGAAGGCTCAGGCATACTATGAGGCAAAACGTAAATGCTTTAAATAAAGCATAAACAAGACCAGCAAGGGGGGTGGCTCAACTCCAGAGACAATTTGGAACAACCTCTAGAAGTCCAGCTCCCACCAACTAGCAGTCAGACATTAAGGCCAATCTGGGCCCCCAGCATTTCCTGGGAGCCATGTGATCAATCAACTGACTAAAAGTCTCAGGATGGCACCCCCTGCTGCCATCCTCCCACAGCCTGCAAGATACAAACTAGGGAGATGAAATGGGGAGCCAGAGTTATTTTTTTAAAATAAGGCAATAATCTTAAGAAATAAGATTTGAATCTAATTCTTCCATTTGGCTAAAAGCACATTCAAGGAGGGGGTGCATTTCTACAGAATGGCATTCTAGACAGAACATTTGAAAAAGTATTATTCAAGTATATTTATACTTTGCAATGTGCACTCTGTTTTCCTTTCCCAAAAAATATTAAACAGAACAAATTATCTTGAACATGACATCTGTAAAACTTGAATGTGGGAGGATGGAGACTTGGTGATTATTCAGAAATTGCAGAAGAAACATTCATTCTGTTTCTTGAATGTTGTGGAAGTGTTCATGAAACAGAAAGTCATGTATATATTCTGAAAGTTAAGTTATCTCTTTGCTGTGACCTCTCTTACTAACAAGTGGACATGATAGCACAGCAATGGGCAATATTTGTATAATATTCAAATGATAAGGTAATACGTTCAAGAACTGTACTGTATGGTGTAAACAAACAGCCGTATCTCATGTGGGACAAAACTCAAGGAGGCAAGTGGAAGTCGCAAAAGAATAAGGAAAAAGTCAGAAACTTAGAGAAAGGAAATAATCTGATTCAATGTGAAGGTGAGTCCAGGAAAACTTGATAAATGATGTGGCAAAGGAGAGTAGACAAAAAGCTTGTAAAAAGACCAAGGAATCTCAAAAACATTGCTTTGGTGAGAGACATTAAGAGGAGGGTGACTTTCACATTCTGATTTTCAATTCAGCAATAAAAGCTTTGACTGTAATACATTTTTATCTGTCTATGATTACTTTACTCCATATGATTATTGATCTTAGGTAAAAAGCACACCACTATAAATACTATAATATTACACCTCATATTTTAAACATTGTGCAAACATACTCATGCCAATAATATTCCATTTGAATATCCATGTGAAAAAAGAGTGAACCATTCAAGTCATACAGATATAAACATACCAATTCAGAACTCCATATATGAAACAATAGTAATTCAAATAGGACAGATTGAAAACTTACACACATTTTCAGCTATGGTATCCCACAGCTGCATGGATTTAATCCCTAGCACCATACCTTTCGAAGAGGTTTGAGTTTGGTCTCCATTATAAAGTCATATTTGCAGAGTTCACAGCATCGTGTGTCTGAGCTCTTAATCCACTGATGCAGGCAGGCTTGATGAACAAAACGTAGGGTCCCGGTACAGCGACATGGTGTGATGAGGGGGTTTTCGTCATCTCCCTCACAGTGACAGATCCTGACAGGAAGGATAGCAACAATGAGTGAGCAAAATGAAAGCTTATTTGCACTGCCTTTCCTGCTAAGAGTTGGCATTCAAAACATTCAGAATGCATAACCTTTGAGATTTGATCACAGGAATTCTTTCCCCAGTTCTCTGCTTCAGATAATCATGCATTCCATTTTTAGCATTACCCAGAGATGTTTCATCCAATAACACATTTCACTCACCTCAATAATCCTATCTAGGCACAAATATGATGAAACCAAACATGAAAAAGGTGGAAAGTACCTCTGTTCTTTCTCTCCTTCTATGACAGCAACATGAGTACCCTAGAGGCAACTTCCATTGTATGTTAAGGATTGCCATACAATGTTCATGAAACCATGCTTAGTTATTACAAAGTAGCCACCACCTAAACTCAATAATCTTCTTATGGTTTCTAATATGATTTATATATCCCTGCCAGATTAAGTAGCAATCTTTCTCTATCAAGGAAATAAGGGCTAGAATTTACTGATGTGTACATTTGCCAAACACTGCAGATACTGCACCACTCAGACAGGGATGGTGAATGTACATGCCACCCACTACCCCCAGGCTGTCCAATCCTGGGGAAATTGTATGTCTATGCAAACAATGCTGGCTGGTTCTAAATTACAACTGGCCTAAATTTACATGTTGCCAAAGTGCAGGGAAGCTCTGGAGCTTTGGGGAACCTCTAGGGCAGACCTGTACAATGTGGCAGTAGGCAAGGGCCAAAATAAAAATACGTCAAACTTCTTTGGGGCACAGATAGCTTGTATAACACTGAGTCATGGCTGTTAAAAATTGTGCCAAACTGCATGAATTCTATGGTGTAGATCAGTGGTTCCCAACCTTTGGCCTCCACATGTTTTTGGACTTCCCACAGTTCCTAATAGCTGGTAAGCTGGCTGGGATTTCTGGGAGTTGAAGTCCAAAGACACCTAGAGGCCCAAGGTTGGGAACCACTGTTGTAGATGCACCCAATGTCTTTGAACTGTACTAAAAGGGTTAGCCTTCCAGGCGTCACAAGATTTATGGCAGATTAAACAGCAGATTTTTATTTTATTTTACACCCTCCACTTTCGTCCCCTCTTTCTCCTTGCTCTGACAGTGGATGTCTTCATGCTTCGCCTGAGTCTCTGCAACTTCCTGTGCCAAATATGCCTCTTGGAGCAGGAAGAGGAGGAAGCTGGTAGTGGCTCCACCTACTAGGCACCTTGCACCCCCCCGTGGTTTGTCCTGGCAGGTGAATGAGGTGTCCAGGCCCATGGAGGCAGTGGGGCTGAGGCGGCCTTGACTCAAGCTGAGCATGCTGGCTTGCCACTTCCTTGTTGCCACCAGTGCCCCCCTCTACAGAGCCTCCTGCTCCCCAAAGGGTACTCCAGTCTCTGCATGGACGTCTCCTGGGCCAAGAAAGGACGCCTACAGCCGGAGCAGCAACAGAAAGGAGAAAAGGTGTTGTGTGTGAGTAAGTCATGGTGGGTATATTTTGCAGTACAACCAGTGAGATCTGTAGCCAGGTCCCACAGATGACAGACAATAAAGCCAAAGGCGGCAGCCCCCTAAGTATGATGTGCCTATGTGCATGCAATCATACAGCTAGCGAGGAAAAGACTGAACTGTAGCTCTCAAACAATGAGTCTTCAACCTGCATAGTGTCATAAAAAAGGAAAAAAAACCCTCTGTATTCAAAGAAGAACAAAACATTTCAGAAACAACCAAGGCTGGGTTTCAGGGCAGAATGAGACCTAAATACTGAAATATTTGCTGTGATTGTGTTCCTGTGCACAGAATCAACTGAAATCTGTGGGATTTACAAACAAGTAGCCATTAGCCAATCATTCTTTGTAACAACTCTACACTACATTAGATAGTGAAAAACAGCACTAATGGTGAAAAGAGATGACAATGCACAACTTCTTATAACACCCAAGAAAATTAGTCACAACATCCTTTTAAAAAAGTCAGTTTCCCTTGCGCACTTATGTCTTTTCCCACAGATCCACCCTTTAAGGGAAACATTATTCTTCATGGATTCCCTGCATGGAAATAGTTTCCTTCTATGAAGGAAACTGCATGAAAGCTATTTAAGATCACACATATTAATTTACATGTAGGTTTCCTTCTTACATAGAAAAGCAGGAACACTGTTAGCAAGTTGGTAATCCTTGTGAACACCCTTACATGTCTGGAACTCCAACAGTACTTTTAAAGTCTTACCAATTTAGATAAAACTTTTTATCTCAGCATAAAGTGTCACATGAATAGACCAACATCATTTTCTTTTCAAATTAAACTCATTTCCCATAGGGGAATGCAGGGTTTTGTTCATGTTAATTCTAGCGATATATAATTTATTTGGAATACTTCTGTGTTTAAGCCATTTAGAATTTAGACAAATAAATTGGGTACCCAGGAGTCCTTTTCAGCCACTGTCAGAATTGGTTTAAATTAGTTTAAAAGCTAAAATATCATTCTAAAACTCCACTGGGATAACAAATAAAATGACAGAGCCACTCTGAGCGGAACACAAATGATTCTTCAGAAGAAACACTTAACCTAAAACACTGAATGAATTATAAATTAAAAACATATAATGAGAATACCGAATTCTGTGGCAATAGAAATAATGACTAGAGGAAATGATTATGGAAACAACTTGAAATGTATTAAGTGCTCTTGTCGTCTGTTTATTTTTGCTCTGCTTGTAATTTATTTAACCATAAAAAGATTGGTTGATAATGATCATTTGCCTAAGGACATTGAGAATTAATGTGTGTATCCTTGGTGCACATAGGGAGTATGAAAGGGCAGAGTTTCAACTGTGTTGTGCTTTCATTACTTATTCCTTCCACACCTATTTTGAAAACTTGAGAAAATTTGAGCCGCAGAATCTCATAGTTTCTCCAATCATAAATGCCCCTTTCAATGTTTTCTATGCTGGCTGTAGTGCACAGCTGGAGAATCTACATAGCTTTTCAAAAGGCCGATTAAAGAGTGAGGAATGGGCCATACCTTGTGTGAACATCCACTTTATCCTGAAAACCTTGCTTAGGTACATGCCAATGGAAAGCAGGGCAATATGTTTTATTAGAATATAAATACCTAATGACTCCTCTGCCATACTCCTCACCCTATAGCATGGGAGGGCAGCTAGAAGATTTAAAAAAATGAAAACAAAATGGAAATATATAATGGAGATTGACAAAATTCCCTTAACCACAAAAATGTTAGTAGGCTTTTTGAGGCACATAAAATGGGTAGGGAAACTAGTATGGCTATATCCCAGAACATAGCAGAAAAAAACATAAATAATATTTGTATCTATTCAAAAAGAAATTCTACTGAGTTCAACAATGTTTACTCATATATAGATAAGTACAGGATTGCAGTCTAAACTATCAATCCTATAATAAAGGTAAACGTTTACCCTTGACATTAAATTAGTCGAGTCTGACTCTGGGAGTTGACGTTCATCTTCATTTCTAAGCTGAAGAGACAGATTGTCTGTAGATGCCTCCTAGGCCATGTGGCCAGCATGACTGCATGGGGCACTGTTACCTTCCCACCAAAGCGGTGCCTACTGATCTACTTACATTTGTATGTTTTCAAACTGCTAGGTTGGCAGAAGCTGGGGCTAACAATGTGAGCTCACCCTGTTCTGCGCATTCAAACCACCGACCTTCTGGTCAGCAAGTTCTGAAGCTTAACGGTTTAACCTGCTGTGCCACTGCAACCCCTCTCAATCCTACAGGATGACATAAATGGAAAAGTGGAAATCATCTACATTCTCAATTTTGTGGTTGTTCATACCTGCTTTCAAATTAATTCTGACCTATGGTGATCCTAAGACAAACTGATGATGGTGTTTCCTTGGCAGAGTTTATACAGAAAAGTTTTGCTAGTGCCTTCCTCTTAAGCTAAGAGAGTAGTTCTTACTCCAGGTCACCTATTAAGTTTCCATGACTGAGCAGGATTCAAACTCTGCTCTACCAGAGTCCGAGTTAAAACCCAAACCATTATACTATGCTAGCTTCAGAACATTCTTTATTGCTAACCTGAATATAGTTCGATTCTGAACATCAAGAGAAGGCAGAAACTGAAATTACTTGCTACAACATTTTGTGCTTAATTTGAAGCTGGCACAATCTCATCGTCATACGGTAGTACTAAGGATAGAACTTGAGCTTCCGAAATCCTCACATTTATCTGGTGTGACTTTAACAATATTAAATGTATTGTATTAGTGAACACCCTTGAGACTTCATGGTTGACTGTTCATGTCCACTGAGGTCAACAAGGACATTGTTTTCAGAAGCTATTTGTTTGGGGGATGGGGAGGAGAACTAAGACAGTCATGTTATTTCTTTGCATTCCCAATCCGGTTAATTGGAATATCACTTAGGAAAGACAAATATTCTGGCTAGATGTTCTGAAATGTATGTATGTGTGTGTAATCTTCATTTTGCACAGCTTTTTGGGGAAAAAGAAAATTCAAACAAGATTCAAAAATATGACAGACTGTAGTCTCCCCCCATGTCATCACAATTGTCTGGAAATGACACAGCACTGAACACACACTAATGTATTACTGAAAGCTGATAACATTAAAATCTGAATCATCTGCAGTAACTTGACATTCACTTCCATTTAATTCAGCCACTTCCTTCTCAGCTGCAACAAAATTTGCATTCACAGAATATATTTTTCTGAATCTACTACATTAGTAAAACATACAAAGAACTGGGTAGAAGATACCTGTCTCTGATCTGGTGCCTAGATAACGGTGTTTGCATTATATCAGACAAATGGAGCAAATCCAGCCTTCATTCCACATTTAACTAGCCTCTGCTTTGCTTTGCTTTGCTTTGCAAATATCTTGAAAGGTATGTTCACATTTATGGCTATCAGTCTGAAAACTGGAGGTGGCTTCTGTATCTTTAATTTTGCTTGTCATGCAACTAGATAACAGACAACACTCACTGAAATTTCCTCATCTACACAACCTATGGGATACTAGATCAGGGTTTCTCAAACTTAGCTCCTCCAGGTGTTTTGGACTTCAGCTCCCAGAAATCTCAGCCAGCTTCCTGCTGTTAAGAATTGTGGGAGCTGAAGTCCAAAACATCTGAAGGAGAAACTGTACTGGAGTAATCTCCAGTTTTCACTCTGGCAGCCAATGACACACAGGATGAATCATCTCAAGAAATCACAGCCTAAATTCTTCTCAAAACTAGTTCTGACACATCTAAATGAAAGTGGAATGCCCAAGTGGTCAATGGTCCTAAATTACCATACTCTGGCCTATAGAAGGAAGAGCTAAAATAGTACTGTGTGAAGGTAAATAGTTTGAAATGATGTTGCCCTTCCCCATAAAACCCTTACCAGCATGTTGCTAATAAAGTATAATAATTGTGTATTTTTAAAAAAAATCTGCATAAGTTACTTTAGTGATTCTACTGGAAGTTAGCAGCATCAGAAAGCAGATGCAATTGCAATGTTAATCACAACTCTATTTTATCAATACTCATGCCTGAACTCTTGACTTCTTGTAGACTTTTAAAAAAGTATGTACTCTTTGTTGATTGGTATATAAGTTAAATCAGCTGGTGTTCAAATCAGGATAACAGTATACATTCCTGTCTCTTTTCCTAATAAATATTTTATTTCATTTTTTAATATTGAGGCGTCTTTTTTCATTCGATGCATGAACGTAGCTTTTGCTGCAGTGAAGCAGGTATGCCTTTTTTAGCTGTATCAGAATTACGGGATCATAAATCATTTTCTTATTTGTTCCACTGATGGCTTAGCAGGTAAGATAACTTGCTGGTGATAAAAATTAGTATGCAGCCAATTTACAGTATTTCCTGATACATGTATTTATTGCCTAATGAGATCATCCATCTAAAAATAAATAAAGAAAAAATACAATTGTCCTGGAAATTTCCGCTTGTGTGTTATCACTGAAAAAATATTACTTGAGGTTTTGGGCTTCATTTGGACTGAAGGGCTGATGTGCATCACTAATAGCCTTGTTTTCCAATGTCCACTAAGTTATACAGCTATGTCAGTTAGTAGCTGAGAACAATGAAACAAAGGGTTAACTAAACAGATACGGAAACATCTATGATGGTGGCAAAATACCCTCCCAATATTATGTCTGTGGTGGAGGGAGAAAAATAATTAAAAGCCACCATGTTGTAGGCTCTTGAAGGCCTAATATGACTGATTTGCTAGACATTTTGTAGATAAAGTTGCTAATTTATCTATTAGTATTATTTTGGCAGTGTATGAGATGCAATGCATCATTTAATTATGCTGTTTTATTATGAATACTTTTTGGTTGGTGCAACTTGTGGATATGGATGATCAACATGGAGGATTGAGGCCTACCATGTCCTGATTAGATAACTTCCCATTATATCTTGTGAAAACTGACAGGAGTTGATGATGAACTTAGAGGACTCTGAGGGATGATAAGTCTCTACAGATTTAAAAGAACCAGATGTGAGGCCTCTATTAAAAATAATCCAATAGTTCAATTACTATCCAATGATTAATTTACTATCTTGAATAAAGCAAATGAAATGAGCATGTGGCCACTTCTTAATTCCAGCCCATTGTTTTCCAATGTCCACTAGTTAGGGATAGCTTTTTTTTGTTGTAGTTCCATGAACTAGTTTTCATGCTGCTGGATTTCTAGTGTGTCTGAATTCTTTCACCTCTTCATGAAACTTGTGGCTAACATGCAATGGGGATTACATTTATTTCTTGAAACATGAAAAAGAGTTGAGGAACATAAATTTTTAAAAGCTGCCAAATGCCAGCTGCAGAATTTGGAGAAAACTCAAACGAGATTCCTCGATGGTCTTATTTTATCTTTTCTGCCATACATCTGGGACCTTGGAAGACATAGTCACCTACGTAACCACTGCCAGGACACCAAACTTGGAGGACAATCTTACTTGGACAACGAAGGATCACCTAAGTAAGTAACATCTGGGACCAATAAACATAGCTGCATGTATATGGGGCCTAATGCACATGGCTAGAAGCTCGTGCTGGATTGTGGGCTTCGGTTGGTGCCCAGTGACGTCAACTCTTGGTATCAGCTCTTGCTTTAGTATTTAAATTCTATTAAAATTAATGTTTACACATAGTTTCCATCATCTCAACAATTGTTACTGATTTCATATTTTTATTTGTATGCACTGCTTCTACTCCACTCCATAGATTCAGTATGTATGAAGACAACGCATATTATTTAGTTTGCTCTAGTTTTTGGAGGCGAAATTGATATATAATTAGAATTCGAAAGCAGCCAAACAAAGAAACCTGCCTAGAAATTTGATGATTACCTTTGTAAGATCCTACATATGAGATAAGACTTTAAAACAGCACCACTTGAATATCCCAATAATTGATGGCCAAGAGGTAATATTACATTTATTCAACAAGCCAACTCCAGCCTTCCCCCAAATCACAAAACCCTATGCTGCTTAGAAAGCAGACTAATGTGTTTAAGTCATGTTCTACTTTGTAGAGTTTGTCCTTGTTTTCATCTTTGGCTGGGAGAATGCCAAAGACACCCAGTAGGTTTCTCCATGCAGAGTGGAGATTCTCGAAGTCCTAATCCAAAACTGAGACCATTATATCATATAAACAAATCTTGTAAATATTTAATTTATGTCACACATTTATATGCACACAGTTTCAGAAAGAAACCAGAATTAAATATTAGAAAATAAATTAGCGCATATCTGTGACATACAGAAGTATACACTCAAATACAGAACACACGGCTGTCATTATTTTTAGGGATCTGAAACTACTTATTTCTCAATATAGTTATTATTCCTGACTGAATTAATTAATTAATTAATGCAAAGGAACAAGTGTGGGGCCTATTAGAAACTTATTTGACTCTCATTGGCTGTATGCTTATAGAAAGTGAAAATTATCTATTATAAATTTGCACAATTTATACTTCAGAAAGTGGAACAGATTACCACCTAAATGGGGCAGCCTAAATGCTCAAAAATGCTTCTCTTTTTTCTATTTTTGTTTGTAGTTCCAGTCATTTTGCAAAACCAACTGTTCATTAGTTTCTTTCGTTTTTTCTTTCTTTTTGGCCTGAGCCACCAAGTTGTAGAGGCCTGATTTATTCCAAAAGAGCACAAATTTTAAAACATTCTTAACAAATGAGAGATCAAGTTATAGAGTCTATATTTTATCTTACAGAGTGAACTGTACAATAATACTTAGCAGAAAACATGACATACTGTACTTTGACAATTGTTATAGGGCAAAGAACACATTTATTAAAACATACTACAAAAATGTGAAATATTCTGCAAATTAAAAAGGAAGTCTTTACTTGAATTGTTAGAATTTTAAGTGGAAATTATTAATGAAAACACAGACTAATGGTGGAAGTGGGGTGGAGAGAGAAGAAGAGAGACAGACAGAGACAGAGAATCTGAATTTCCCCATGGGGGATATCCTGTACATACTTATTTCAACTTTATTATGTTAAAATAGTTCAGTACTTTGTCTCAGATACTTGTTCTGATTTTATGATTAAAGTCTGTACCAAATGAAGCTGTTGTTCAGTTGCCAAGCATGATCTAGACTCTAAATAGCAGCATGAATCAAGGAGGCAAGTGGGGACCCAAATAACCTCCTCTTTGTAATTCATGGCACTTAGCAATTATTTTTGTATTAGGAGACAAACCTGCACACTTCGAAATCATCAGACAAGTCATCATAAATCACAGGAGGTTTCTGAACTGCAGCTGTCACACCGGGCCCTGTCTCAGCAGGTGCTCCATTTTCTGGATGGGTCAAAATATCACTGCCTGAGCCTTTCTCTGAACCGCTTTCCTCTTTTCTTGCTTTGCCTCGCCTAAGGTAAGATGATGGCTTTGACTCCTTGTGGTTGCACTTGGTCTGGTGATTTTCCCATTGTCTCAAGGAATTTCTTGCCTCTAGAGAGGATAAAGAAGATAATGAGGGATGTGTTTCTTTACACTTTGAAGACTTTCTCCTACGGTGATTTAGAATTTGGCCTTTGGGATCCATCTCCTTTTCTAGATTCTTTTCTGCATTTGTCCCCATTGTGGCAAGTTCAATGGTATTTTTAATAGATTGCCCATCAGGCCGAGTGTTTGAAGTACTTCGTCTTCTCATTCTTCTAGGCATGTTGGCTCTTTCTTTCTTTCTAATCAGGGCCCAGTGATTTTCATCTGAAGATGTGGAATCAAATGATGCCTTGCGCAAATCATTCCATCTCGGATTTGAAACCTTGAGGTGTAATTTGCCATCCTTGTCTTTCCTTGGCTTTTCTGAATGTTCATCATGTTCCCCAGCCTCCTTCCTCCGCCTAACCCTTCGCTTCACTTGTTTCTTAACAGATTCTTTACTGGCAGGATTCAGCACCATGACAGGGGGTGATTTTTCAAACTTATCTTCTGATATGTCATGCAAGGTGGGAGATCTAAACAAAGCAGTAAGTAAAGATGGATGGAAAATGAGAAAACAGAGAGAGAGAGAGAGAAATAAAGCAATACAATGAATAAAGGGACACTGAAATGATATAAAACTATGACTAAAATAGGAAAAAATGGAAAGGACATAAACACAACAACAACACCGACAAACAAAAGCTACATCAGAGCATAACTCCACAAAGGAATTAGGCAAAAGGAAGACTATGGATTAATCAGACTAGAAACATTCATATAGCACATACCTACAGATGTCCTGAGTAGAAGGGCAGACAGATAACCGTGACTGGCTTCTGGGAGCTGTTCCTGTGGTAGGGCTGCTTGCCTGTTGAAAGAAGTTGGATAACTTGGAATCTTTATCCATGAAATAAAACATAGATATTTTATTGCTTTCCCACATGATTAAAACAAAAGTTAGCCTTTGCAGCTCTTCACGGAGCTTTCAGATAGGCACAATTTGTAATGCAGGAAGTTGCTGCAAAAACAAAACTCATTTGAGGAACTAAGTGTGCTTTAAGGGCTATAGTTGCATGTCACACACACACATACATTGTTTTGAGGAACAAACTTTCAGAGGCAAAGTTTTTACACTGCGGAAGAGCTTAGCTGCACTGGGGAGTGAGAGTGAGGGAGAGGGAGAGAATAGGAAACAACAGCTGTTAAAAATAAAAAAATAAGGTTTTTTATCAGAACAAACCGAAATGCACTGTTATTGGGTGGCTGTGTGTCAGATCTGGGGCAGAACTATTACAGTATCACTTTTCAGTGTAGGAGGGCAGAAGCTATGTGAATAGAAAAGCTTATTTTTAAATATACCAGCAAAGCAATCCAGTTCACTTACAGAAATTGGATGAATGTGAAACTGATGAGGCTAAGACAATCCTAGGTTTATAAAGAAAATCTACAACCCATGAGTATATTAAACACCTGAAGCAAAATATTTCCACTATGTGAGTCCTAGTAGGATTTCAGAGACATTTTCATGCTAGCTAAATGCAAAAGGTGCTTTAATGGAAAATAACATATTTACTCTATTAGAAGCCTTCTGACAATATAATTTTCAACACAAGCTATGTAGTTACCTGTTTTGTTATGGCCTGGGTGCCTATAGTATACATAAAATTAATCTGTCTCAAAACTCAAACTTTCAAAGTAATGAGTGTGAGGATTTCATATGTAAGAAACATTGAACATCATGGGCGACCTCCAATAACACACATCAGCTAGCCCCTGCTGTTTCTATCAGAAGAGTTGAACTTTCTCCTTATTACAGTCTCCTGTACATCCTAAATACCTGACCGGAAGTACTGGTAAAACTTCTTTTTAAGGGGCATAGTAGCAGTGAGAGAAGAGACAGAAAATTCACAATTTATTTATATCTCATCTTCTTCCCAGCACAGCTGAGGTCTTGAGTTTGAAACCATTTAAACATGACCAGATTCTTTATCACGAATGTGTAGGAAATCATGTGTGTTGACTGGGACAACTATATACACATCTTTTTCACTGACACATATTACTAGAATCTATAAATGCTGCAAGCTATAGCAATGGATGCACTTCTTAGAATTCTGTCATCTTGAAAAAACCTTAAACAGAAAATAGTTGCATCTATAAATGATCTCAAAGACCACACTAGAAGTAGTCTATCACTCCTACCCCACTTTTACAACGATAGATTAGGAAAGATCTATTCCAATGAGATTTTAATTTTTAATAGAAAAAAGTGCATGTTTAAACCAAAATGGAGATTATTTCACCCAGATTCTGCATTATTACCTTTCCATGACATGTGGCCAAAGAAAAGAAATTTGTCTTGAAAACGAAGGAGGAAACACGCAAGATCTCTAGCTTCCTATGAAAACTCAATTTTTCATATTCGTAAAGATAATCCATTTGTTTTAGGAGAAAATACACTATGAACTCATTAAAAATAAAATGGAATTCTGGTGTCAGATTTGCACACCATATATAACTTTTAAGACAAGTGAATTCAACTATAATAAGTAAAACTGGAATAGCAAACTCTTAGTCATCGTTGGGCTGCAACCTCCCATCATTCCACTCCACAGCCTAAAATGGCTATAGCTGTTGGGATGTGCAATCCACCAGTATCCAGAGGGCTGTATGATTTTCATCCTGGAGCTGGGTGGATTGTTTTAGATATTGCTCATATAGGTCTAAATGCATACACATATACATCCATCTTTACAACACAATGATAACTTGGCTTTCACACATTAGCCATATGCAGCTTTTGAAATGTATAGAGATGCACTTCTACATCTGAGGATGCTGATATATACACACACACACACACACACCTGTACTACAATCCTACTACATTCCTTGGAGATAAGGAATGTTGTAGATACTGGGAACAGCTGTTGGGTACATGGTACAGAAACCATTATAATTTTTTTTCTCAGCATCTGTGATCAGTTTCAGTAATTCATGTGGGAGTTAGACATGTGTATCCGGAGACAAACATGGACCTTTTTATTTTGTATGAGTATTTCTACACTACAGGTCAAACTCTTCCATCTTGAAGGCATTCACTGTAAAGTTGGATTTTAAATGACCACTTCCTGAATGACTTCCCTGTGCCTTGTAAACTTTTCTTGAAGCTGACTGCAGAAAAAGTCCATACAAAAAAAGGTTCTGCAGTTTATTACTTGTTTTTTTTCCTTTGAAAGGGCTACTGTTTCACTAAAAAGAGTATATGCATACTGTTTTAAGGACTAGTTACCATTTCATTTAAAGGAAATATAAGTTAAGAAATCACTTACTTCTCAATCTAATAACAAAGAGGGTGTTAGACAATGCTTGGTGATGCAATTACAAGATATACATCCTTGTAAATAATGAAACCCGTTGCATGCTTTCACTATTCCTATGCTCGTTGGCATAGATACTTTAGAAAAGGGGTGTCAAACCCATTTTCCTTGAGGGCCTTAAGGTAGTCTTCAAAGGGCCATTGAATCCATGAGTGGAGAATCTGTGGATACAGGGGGTCTACTATACTTTTTGTACAGAGTAGTTGGTGCTTGTAATGAATCGCTTACCTTGGTAAGCTAGCTTAGGCCTAGGAGAGTGGGCCTGGCAAAGCCACGACATCCATTTTAGAGAAGGGAGACAGGGAGATGCCATCTTAGGTTAGGTTTGCCTTAAGGGGGCATGTTCTAGTCTTGGAGGGAAAGTTAGACCACTAGGATTGGTTAGAATGATGGGGGTGGAGCCTAAGTGATCTGAAGGAAAAAAGTGACTTTTAAACTGAGGCTTGAGTTCTCAGATTGCCAGTTTGGAGTTGAGAGTTGGAGCTTGGAAAGGGTGTTAGTGAGAGCAGTTTGGGGTTTTGAAGGACTTTGGGTCAGTCTTTTGTTTAGTATTCAGGGCAGCTATAGAGAAATATAGCCAGAATACTGTGGGGAGCAGCACCTCGTTAGTGGTCTGTTCTTTTCCTTAAGGAAGGTTAGTTCAGGTTTTGGCTAGTTTCCTAAGGGGGATTTTTGTGGGAATTACTTTCAGAGATTCATTTCCTGAAGTAATTTTCTGTGTTGTAACTTTTAAGACTTGAAACCCAGAAGTTTTTAAGATCTCTTCTCAAATGTAAACACAAGCTTTGTATGCCAGATTTTTACTGAAACCATCAAGCATTTGTACCTGAAATATCCAAGTCTGTTCAAATAAAGTTCTTGTTATTTTTACCAACTCATACCAGCCTCAGCGTGAATACCTTTGTTGTAAAAGTGTTATTCAAGTCAGCTTTTTACCAGCCTCTAAGAAAACTAGAGTAACATAGGGTGTGTTACTGAACAACCTCTCAATAATACCTCAGCCTGTTCAGTAGTAATATGGTGGCAGCGTAAATCTTTTAAAGAATCATTTTTAAGTCTCTCAGTTCCAGTGGTTCCCAGTTCCTAACTTCTAAATATACCGTTGGTTTCAACAATCATTACTCCCTCTTTACTTTGATGAGCTAATCTGGAGTGGTGTCATCGTTATAATTTTAATGAAGCAGTGTTGGGACTTTTATTATCTAATAGAGTTCCCTACTTTTCCCCACAGATCGTTATAATTTGGTAGGCTGCTGTGTAATCATTATTTGGTGGTACAGTGGGTGCAATTTGTTATAGTGCTCTTTAGTCTTTATTCCATTTGGGTCCCTAGACGATATTTGAACAACATCAAATGATATGGCAACGAAACCTCCTTCACTCCCCCATTTTTTCTTCCTCTCACTCCCTCACTCCCTCAGACCTTCCTTATTCATCTACGCCCTCCCCATAAAAGCACAGTACCCAGTACCTAATAATTATCTATATCCCAATCTAATCTCTGTACCTAAGCCTTACCCTTTCTTGCCCTAAAACAGAAATGCATTTAATAAAAAATATTTTAAAAAATGATATAGCAGGCTGGATATAGCCCACAGGACTGGGATTTGACACATCTGCTGTATAAAGTCAATAATTTAGTATCCCCAGTCTTCATTCAGCTGGGCCCTGAGTCTGCAGCTTATAGGTTGCAGGAATGGAAACCCATGCCACTATTCATGTGGAGGGGGGCATTGACGCAGCTAATTCTAGTGTTACTACTGGGGAAAATCTTTGCCAGTTGAGAGGCTTGGTGCTAGTTTTCAGAATGACAGATTTTAGTGACAAACCTGTAGCATACATCTTTAACTCAGGCTGCCTCCAGTTTCGTTTTAAGCCGAGGAGCACATTTGTTTTCCCTTCTGTGTAGCACTCGCAAAAGGCTGTTGGGAACTAAAGGGGGACAGGGTAGTATTTTCCCAGATAAAACATCAATGTAATCATGTATTTTATCACATTTTGTAAATCTAAGTCACTCTGGGCAAGCAAGTATGTAGCCCTTCCCACCCTGCTAATTGTTACACAATTTAATATACCCAATTCTAACTCAAATTGCTGTAAGTTATATTAAGTAAAAGAAAGAAAATTGAGAAAATGATGTTTTGGATTGCATTATTCTAATACAATTATATCATGAAAAATATATGGAAAACATGTGCAGCAAATACAGTAAACGACTGCAAGCTTATTAGAAAATATTTTGTCACAATCTCTCATTTAGTGCCTTCATGTTTTCTTGATTGGCTATATAAAAGAGTTCTGTTTCACAATGTAATGAACTTCAAATGGCACATTCCTTTATTTGTCAATTACTCAAAATATTTTAATTTTATGAAGTGCTGTTTTAATAAAAGAAAGTTACACCAGAGACCAGCTGCAGAAAATTAATCAAAGGAGATGATATCAGTGGAATAATTGAAGACACTAATACAAGACATGTTTTATGGCA